GGGGAAAGGGAGGTCTGGGCCTCCCTTCTGAAGCTGCTGCCCCCGCGACCCGACCCCGGATAGGCGGAAGAAAATGGATGGATGGATGGATGGTATTTAAAATTAACAAAGCAGGCACTAAAGCTAAAATCAGATAAACTGTCTGACTTAAAGTAGTTGTGTAATAATGGTAAAAGTGGGGATTATATACAGTAAATGTTCCACAGAGACATTTATAGCTATTTTTGATTAAATAGAAAGGTTTAAACCTCTCATTCACTTTCTTCTTGTTACAAAACAACCAGAGCTATAAACAGTCTCTACAGGTCAAAAATGGAGTTACATCTTTTCATGCAAACCTTTCCCCCCTCTTATGTTTAATCTGGTTCATTTTCTCTTTGCTTCTGATCTTTTACAGGATTATTTTCCTCTTTCACAAAAATGGACACCTGAGCTCCAAAGCCAAAGTGAAGCCTCCCAGATTGAATGGTCAGAAGGTTGGCGTGTACTCCACCCGCAGTCCACACAGACCAAACGCTCTGGGCCTGACTCTGGCCAAGCTGGATAAAATTGCAGGTGAGTGTCAATAAAGGTGTAGTAATAACAATAACAATAATGGATGGTTTTGAAGGAGAATCACTGAACTTTAATGACTTTTTCTCTTATTGTAGTTGTATTTAAGAGAAAAAGTTTACTTTATAAAAGGAAATGAAACAGGAACAGTAGCTTTTTATTAGTTGTGGCCACAAATATTTTACTAATTTCAGTTCACACAGGCTTCTCAGAACCACCAAAGAATAACTTAAAAGATACAAAAAAAAGCTTCAGCATTATCTTGTTTATGATAACATTTGTATGTCATCTCAGATCAATTTTCGTTGGCAGCAGTAGTGAAGATAACAACCCTCGCTGTGTTTCTTAATGTAATATTTACATGCAAATTTCCCTGGAGTTTAATGAAATGAGGAGGGATTCTTAAAAATGGATGATTTTAGGTAAAACATACATTTTTTTATTAAAAGAATTATGTGAGTTGTGTATAATCCTGATTGTGAAAAGGTAGGATTGTTGTGTAAAATGTAAATAAAAACAGAATGTAATAATTAGCTAACACCTTTATTTTTGCCTAATTTTACTTATGTTCTTGCCAAATGATTTACTGCTGGATGTAAATGTAAATAATCAACAGCACAGTAAATGGTAAATACCTAACAGTTTTGTTTATTTGTTTTTTGTTTTTTTTAGGCGACACATTATATCTGTCAGACATTGACATGATTGATGGGACTCCGGTCCTGGACATCAAACCCTACATTCCAGACTATGATTCCCCGGACAGGAGGACAGGTTTAAACACGCAGCTGTACGAGTCTAACTCAGACCTGCCTGCTGCGTCTGGGAACACGGAGACGAGCAGCTTAAACCTTGATGGAGACTCTAAACGTGCTCAGTTTAACACTGGGGACAAAAGAACGGCTGATGATGATGATGATGACAGATCTGAGGCAGACGTTTGTTGTAAAAACTCCCTGAGTGATAATGCTCGTGGTGTTCTGCCTGAAGACGTCCGCAGTGCGCTGGAGGACGTCAGAGCCTTTGTAACCCAGGATGATCGTAGGATGAAAAGTAAAGTTTCTGACTGTTCGACACCCACAGCACCGCCGTCCACCACGGACCATCCCTGCTACGGCGAGGAAGACTCTGCAACCATCGCCAGCTGGATCAGAGAGCCTCCTGTTGCCTGTCTGGATGTTCGCTTCACTCCTCAGGCTGAGAAGCAGCTGGCAGAATTCCTTCCTGCTCACCTGTCAGGTAAAACTAAAATAAAATTTAAGGCCTATAAGTGCCCATATTGTCAACAGACAGAAAATATTACTGTCCTCCTTTGTCTTTCCCTTTTTCCAAAATAAAAGATTGATGCTTTCAATCTCCACAAGAGGGCGCTGGTGGTGTTTTTGTTCAAAAGCATTTACTCTTTTTTTCCCTTTCTTTCTCATCCAGAACCATCTGAAAGCGACAGACCCTGTTTTAAGTTTTTGCGAGGTCCAGAGGAGGCTGTTGCCGCCATCAGGGGGGTCCTGTCAGCAGACCCCAGATCTGTGTACAGGAGAACTCGCTGCAGAGACAGACTCTTCTTCTTCACCATCGACACAGCAGACGTCACCTGCTGGTTTGGACAAGGTTTTGCTGAGGTTCTGCAAATTCGACCCGTTAAGCATCACAGGGATGAAGAATGACACAAATAGCTTAATTAAATGTTGTCTTAGTTGTGCTAAAAAAAACACACATTAAAGACGTTTTTATGATCAGAGATTTGTAAGAAGAAATCCACAGTCGTTTCTGTCAAACTGGCATGGTATATATCATAAAAGTAATTAAATGGTGCAAAACTGAGGAGTTGTTTTTTCAGTATATACATTTCTGTTGCTATTTGTTACCAGACTAAACCTGTTGAGACCTAGACACAATAAATAAATAATAAAAATCTACAAATTGTAAAACTTTTACAGTAGTTTAAAAAAAAGTGTCTCCACAGTGAAGTCCTAAGCAAAACACAAAGGCAGAAATAATTGGTGTATAGATACCAACTTAATTACAAGTAGCCGAAGCAGCAATAAGTAAATTTAACAGTAAACGACTTTGAGAAACAACTAAAGTATCCAATGTGATTGTGCAGATATTTTTCGTTGCAGTACAGAAAAAAAGTGACAATGTGAAAGGTTTTGAAATTTACGGAAGCGTGTTGCTATCAGGCAGGAAAAAAAAATCCGAGCGCTATCACGTTATAACGTGATACGTATCTTGTTAAAACGTGATACGTATCTTGTTAAAACGTGATACGTATCTTGTTAAAACGTGATACGTATCACGTTTTAACGTGATAGTATTAACGCTATCACGTTATAACGTGATACGTATCTTGTTAAAACGTGATACGTATCACGTTTTAACGTGATAGTAATCTTGTTAAAACGAGATACGTATCACGTTTTAACGTGATACGTATCTCGTTAAAACGTGATACTTATCTTGTTAAAACGTGATAGTTATCTTGTTAAAACGTGATACGTATCTTGTTAAAACGTGATACGTATCACGTTTTAACAAGATACGTATCAC